AATCGATTTCTTTTTTCATCCTGATCATTTATGTATACATTTGTCTATATCTATCTCGATTCGTTTTGGCTGTTACAAACAACCGTTATGTGAACAAAATTAATATACCCTTGTGCACAAGTGCGCTCGGGTATAAAAATTAAAAAGGAATACAAAAATGTTTTCAATTGTTTTATTAGATATTTTGCTAAATAAAGAGCAGCAATTACGGGCCTCTGCGTAAATAATATGAAAAAAAAAGTGTTCTCTTGCGCCTCTTCTAACTATCATTTTATATTACAGCTCTCTTGCACTCTAAGGAAAATAAACCAGCGTTCCTCATTACTTTGGGTGTCTACCAGCCTTGTGTACAAAAAAGTTCCAATCCCACAGTGTCGAAGGAGGGCATCAAAGGTCTGTAGGAATGGACTCGAACATTGCTTTGGGAAAAAGCACCGTCACCAAGGTGATACCAGAAATCCTTACCCTTATGGAGCGGAGGCTTTGTTCAAAGTGGATAAAATTGTTATGAGCAAGAGGGAGGGGCCGCCAAAAGTTCTTTCTACGAAAAATTTAGTATACCGGGCGTGATTTGGTGTATCGACGTCAAGCAAACCACAATACGTGTATTTTTTTTTTAAATCGAAAAGGAAATTTTGGCATCAATGCGGCGGTTGTAAGTTGTCAAAATGACTTCATGTTATGTGAAAAGGTTTTTGTAAAATTAATTTCTCATTTATTTCAGATTTGCGTTCATAAGACACCACATTTCGTGGTTATTGGACGAAGTCGTTTTCGGTGTTTATTAGGAACCTTGCAGAAAGGTTTTGAAAATAATTAATGTGTTGACCTGCATAACATTTGTCGCCACTGCAATCTTGAATTTTACTATGAAGAAGTTGAAGAAAACGATAGCGAAGTAGATAGATATGTATCAACGGAAATTAGCTTGCAAGTGAAGCATAAAGAATTGGAGACGAAATTGCAAATAATAATATCTCTATTTAATTAAAAGTAGTTATGTAATTTAACAACAATAAACAATTTACACAAAAAATAACCTTTTCAGGACTTTTTAGTATTTTTCAACGCGAAACTTTCTAGCTCCAACTCAAAGCTGTCGCTTTTTCGACCAACGCTTCTTTCACTTTTTAATGGTGTTCCTGCGAATGTTTTCTAAAGTGTTTTCATCTTGTCTAAGCTGCGGTAACCTCTTTTGGACGTTACTATCGGTTTATTTTTGAGTATTTACCAACGCAGCTAAACTTCCGGAAAGGCTTTAAGAAAATTTTGTTTTATACTCTTTTTTATTCCACTAGCCTTCAGCTGATCGGAATATTTTCGATAAACGGAATGCAGAACATGAAACTTTCGATAGAATTCCGAATCGAAGTTGATCGAAATGTAGAACACGGCGGAATCGGAAATAATTTCCGATTGCCAGAATGCAGAAGACCTACTCGCGGAAACAAATCCGATTCCAATTCGAATCGGATTGCGGAACACGGCTGATAGTGATTTTGGTACAGCAGACAGGAAAGGATTGCTCTACAAGATCGACAATTAGGCGTCGGTTGCCCTGGACCCTGTAAGATTGGTGAAATGTAATATTTTCTCACGATAGAAAAATAATGCTCTTTCAACTCCACTGTCAACAGTACGTACTGTTACGATTAATATTAATTCAATGACTTTCAGGCAGCACCGAGTTTTGTAGTCACAGTATAAATTTTGTTGCAAAATTCCAATAGATTGGAAATTTTTGCAGTGTTTGAAAATTTCAGTTTTTCTTCGAAAGAAAGTATCAGAATGAAACAATCTTTTTGGGTGCAGATTTAAAAAACATAAAACTTTAGAATGAAATTATTTGTGTTACGAAAATATTTTTTTTTTTGTTTTTCAATAATAATTTTTTTATGAACAATTGAACATCTAAACAATTTCTGTGCCATTTATTTATGAAAAAGAAAGCATTTGCAATGTCAATAGTTCGTAAAGTGTCGAACAGGTAAAATATATGCTAATAACTGCACCATGAAGACGGCGAAGCATAATCCTTCTATGCTTGTTTTGCAATTGGAGATCTGAAACTAATCGGCACCGTGAACGCTGGAAAATATATACGAATTTTAAAGGGCTGATTTGTGCCCTGAATGGAAAACCTTTTTTTTTTATTGCTATAAAATCATTTTTCACAGCAAGTTTAGTATTTTTTGTGTTTTCCATTTGAGCATTTATGTCTTTTTAGGTTAAAGAATTTTTACTCCACCATGGTATGCCAACACTAAACTGACCCGGGAATAGGATATGCACCCGATAAAAAATATTTGGAGAATATTAAATTAAGAACTATTTAAAGGATGTTCGAAATAATCTACCGAACTTTGCTGTGTTACATCTGGCAAGACTTAGCAAATTTTGATTGAATCTGTTATTAAGGTAGAAGAAGGCTCTTCAAAATAATTCACACTGGTAGTTTGTACAAATAAAAAACACGGGTAATAACAATAAAAAAAATAAGTACCCATATCCTTTCAAATATAAATTTTCTTAAATACAGTTTTGCTGCCCAATAAGAATTTACTTAAAAATGTATTTATTTAATAAATAGGCTAAGCCAGTGCCAGGATGCATATATGAACCATTTGATTGTTTAATCAGCTGATGCGTTTTCTATGATCGCTGCTGTATGTAATGGAAATTGTTGTGAGTGTATTAAATGAACCGATAATTTAATGAAAGGCGTTGTAGGTGCATTCAAGTAAAAGTTTATTCAAAAATATTTGTCTTCGAAAGAGTAAATTTTGCATTAAAATTCAACCGCGATTATTTCAATCAGTAGTCATAGATAATACCAAAAACTCATAATTATTTCATATACATGCATGTATTTTCCAACAATAAAGCAATAAATACTTTTTGTTCGGACCAAAACGAAATAATTCCAATAAAGCAAGTGCTGTAACTTTGGAACTGATTACATAATTAAAACAGCTCTTAGGGAATTTTTATGATTCTATTCAATCCATTTGACCGTGATTGCATTTTCCTTACTATCCAGC